CTATGGAGACCCGTCCACCAAGACGTATCCATAGCGATGTATCTACCCAATGCATTTCTCCCAACGCACTTTAAAGAAAGAGACCGACTCGCAGAGTGACGGAAAAAGGGAAATACCAGAGTGGTTCGAAAAATGTGGCCACTCGACTAGTGAAACCCTGGTCGTGGTGCCATCTATCCGCGTGTCCATCACGGGAAATCGCGTCACTCCAATTACTCTTGGAGGGGATCCACTCAAAGTAAAATCCAGCATCGAAGTGAAAACAAAAGGATATGGATCATGTGACTCATATGTTCGAGGTCAGGACTGTCTGATCTGCCTTTGATGAGCGCCATCAAAGCGGCAGTGTTGTCAATATACCATGTGCCGCGGCGATTACGAAATCGCTCAGGTGTGGTAGTCAAGGCAATGAGAACTTGCAATAACTCGAGCTGTGCTATTTTGGCATCCCCTGGCGTCCAAAGGTCATAGATGGATGATGGGAGGTGAGATACAAACCCAAGCCGGAGCTCCACGTCCTCGCGGAAGAAGACCAGGAGAAAACCACCCGTGCCTTCACCTGGGGTCTCCAAGGCAGCGTCGGACGCTGCAACAAAGCGTTCATGGCGTCGTGGCCAGACATCAAGTTCACGCTCTGGGTGGATGGAGATCACGGCCTCAAGAATTTGGAAGCATTGTTCAATTGCGGGAGTCAGTTGATCACGTCGGACGAGTTGGCGCTCCTTAATGGCGTGGAGGCCCCCACGTCCAATCCGTCCGTAGACACCCTGTTCGAAGAAGTTGGCCAGTCCATACAGCTTGGCAGCAACACCAGGCTTGAGAGTGTGCGTCTCACGGCATTCATGGATAATGGCCTTCAACTTGGATTCCAGGCGTTCCCTCGCCCAAAAAGAAACGTAGCCTCCTGAAAGGGCGGCTGAAAGATCATGGTCCAGGCCTAAAAATAAGCCTTTGGGGTTCATAGCCTGGCGCTTCTCCTCCGCAAAGGGGGTGCCCAGGAGCTGGTTCAAGACACCAAAAGCCCATTGAGCCGATCCCCGGCTCGAAGACCAGTCTTGGATTGAAGCATCGTCGAAGTAGAGCGATACCAGGACGTAGCACAAACGACGCCCGAGGGCTTCCACAAGGCGACTGTATCGGTTGAACGAGGTCACGGCAAGAGGAAGACCAAAAAGAAGACCAGCATAGACTTGGAAGGCTGGAGCAGCCCATTCATGATGCCAGAAGGTGACTACGCATCCCCGCGTTTCGTTGACCCCCATAGGACTGTGCCGATAGGCATCCGGCCAATCTTCTCCACCTGATTCAGTAGCCGTCGCTTGGGCTAGCTCTATAGTGGGCTCATGCGCCGTAGAACTTGGCTGATGTGTTGGGCCGGCCTGAGGGGCGAGCAGAGCACCAGCTTATTGGCGTCGGATGACCGCAGGGTCTGTCCTCCGGCGTCGGCATTGTCGATAATACGCTGCTTACCCGAGGATTGGGTGATCACACAGCGTGGGATTAGACGATACGGCTGCCCATGCAGCTGCTGACGCAACTGTGCCAGCGTCAATGGAGGGGTACAGAACCCCCGTGCTGCATCTTTCGTAGACTGGCAGCAGGAATTGATCGTCTTTGCCCGGCTTGAGGGTGGACAAGATCTGGTAATTGTGCGCATCGCATCCCGACAATACCTCCGTGAGAGTAATGCGGTCAGCAGGTTGAGACGGAAAGACTCCGTAGCACGGCGCGTAGCCTACCGCTGGGAGGCCGTCGATAAGCCCGAATGGGTATGTGACATCGGGCCATGAAGTCAGCAGAATCAGTAGTGCTACGAAACCGAGGTCCCGAGTGGCCGTGGTAGCTTGCAAGGCGATGGGTTGAAATTGCCGCAGATGTCGCCCTACGGCACACCAACGCCGATGGAGTTCCCGCAGTGCCCCCACTGCTGTACGGCGAAGATCTCGTAGACGGCCTCGGTAACGAGTATGGTAGTCAGCGGCGAAGGCTAGGTCCAGGTCCAGCACTGCTGGTAACTCGGTGGGTAGCAGATCTCGGCCTCGCTTCAACGCTTGGGCGAAGTGCTCATCCGGGCTGAGGTCATAGGATAGCAGCGGAGGAAGCGCTGCGCGCTGGTTCAGTGCACCCACTTGTTGGCCTTCGGCAGTACAAAGAGTCTGACGGACTTGAGCGTCGGCCAAATGAGGGCCCAAAAGCCCATCTGTCTCATAATGCCTGTTGTGCAGCCAAACAAGAAATGCATTGAACGGGGCAGCATTGAGAATATCCTCGACCATAGGGAACTGGAAGTTCGTGAAGAAGTGGGCTGGGTACAGCTTGCGAAACGCTAAGATCAGAGCTTCTTGGCTCCACCAACGTGTAGGACTCGCTGGGATGCCTTGTACTGTGCGGATCAACCCCGCAGCAATGACCTGGCGGGCCGGTGGGGTACCCCCCCGACTGAAGCGATACATCGCCTGACGACCTCTCGGCTGGCTCTTCTCAAAACAGAGGCCAGCAAGCACATCTGCCTCGCAAGGGTCGCAGAAGGGACAGTCGCAGACAAGCACTTTACCCTGAAGTTCGTGTAGGTCGTTCACCAGGCCAGACTCATAGATATGGGCGACGTAGTGCCACAACCAATCATTAGACTGACTGTTCAGACCTGGGATAACCGGGGAGGCCCACTTGGGTCTTCGCAAGACGATGAGAGCCGCGGCCCTGGCCCACGTAGACATGGTGTGGCGGCAACTTGCCTCTCTCTATAAGGACGTCATCCGCCTGAGCCCGGCGGGGGGTCCGGGCAGCTTCACTCGGATCTGGTGGATACAAGCCTAGCCCAAGAGCGAGGGGTGCCATCGCCCACTCCCGTATAGGGCTCGGGGGTCCAGGTCCAACCAATGTTCGCGGGCTCCGACACATTCAAATTGTGGCAGACGTGGAACGTGCAACTTAGCGCGACCCACGCGCCCGGCCCACCACGATGCTGCAACTGCAATAGCACAGGCCAAGACGGCCGTGTACTCGGCTTCCTCCTTGGAAGGGTAGGTCGTCTGGCCTTCCTGCAGATAGGGAGTCCACTCGTGAGGTGCATGAGAGTGGTGGCAGGTCAGCGGCGGCCACTGATCGATCTCATCGATGTTGTGGCGCAAGCACTGTGCCTTACAGCGGGCACCTCCAAGGCAGCACGCATCATAGCGCTTGTCCTTCCAGCAGCCGGTCTCCATCATAGAGCACTCGGTGGACCCCCACCAATGTAGGCTGCGCCATGGATTCTCTCGTACCGACCCTCCGCCCCGCTCCCCGAGCAGCCGAATCTCTTCGAGGATAAACTCACAGGCTTGGTTGTCTGTGCGGACTCGCTGAAGGTCGCGTCCCTGGAGTGTGGGCAATCCATCAGGATGTTGCTCGGAGCGCAAGGGTGCCGGACACGGGCGGCCGTCTTCAAACCGCCGCGGGATCTCCCTGCTGGCTCGGCTCTTGGTGGAGCAGTCGAAGGCTGCACAGATGAAGTCGACCTCGGAGAGCTGGTCATGAAGTGACTGCTGGCGTAGCGGATTGGAAAGGTCATGGGACTTGTCTAACAGCCAGTCCACCGACAAGGTGCGCCGCCCGCACCAAAGGAAGGCCTTGGATAGCGGCAGATTGGGCCCACAAAACAGGTCGGTGACCAAGGGACGGGGAGCATCAATGTCCCCTAAGGGGGAGTCCGTCCCGTCCTCCCCCTCGGGGCCCCATCACTTCTTCCCGCCGCGACAGGCCGCAGCACCATGCCCAGGGGCTCCACAGGCGCGCTCCTTGCGCAGGACCAAACCACAGCGATGCTGGCCATTGGTGCAATTGGCTTTGGCCTTGCATTGACCATGCTGGAAGGCCTGACAGAGGCGCGTCCCGTCTTTGAGGATCTTGGCCACCTGGCGTCCGTTGATGGGATTGCCCAAGGTCCACCGATTGGCTTCAGACTTCACTGGGGTAACCGGATCTGAAGTGGATTTACTCGAGGGAGTTCCACTTGTGGTGATGGGGACTGACCAGTGGGCATCACGCATGGCATAGACTTCTTGGATTACCCGGCCCAGGCTCTTCTGACTATCCCTAAAGCGGGCAACCCACTCCGATCTAACCAGGGACGCGCTCCTTTTGGCTCTGCAGAAATACTGTTGAATGATGTCCACCGGAACTTCGACATACTCCACAGAATTGGACCCCAACCCCTCGGCGACGCTAGGGGCAGTGGCACAAGAGGCGGACCCCGCCATCGCGTAGGCCAGGAGCAAGGTCCAGAGCTTGTCCAGGTAGGAGTTGGCATCCCGACTGGCAGGTTCGTCTTCCTCAGCTTCCTCAACATACAAAGAATCGGCGATCTTTCTTTTCTTTTGGGTGGTGGCCTGCTGGAATTGGAGAGATTTCACTCGCCAAATGTTGTACACACACAACATGCGTTTGGTGAGTTCTCGTGTAACCCGAGAAATCGTGGCATCAGCAGGGTGAACCTCAGGGGGGAACCGCAGCTTGTAGCGGCGCCAAAAGGCGCTCTTCAAATCCCGGAGTTCGGAGTCGCCCAACAATGCATCTAGGTCAGATGCCGAGATGCGAGACCGATCCTGTTCGGATTGTTTGAAGTAGAACGACACGGCGGCCCACGCCCGACGAACCCTTGCCCCCTGAATGTTGGCGTCCTCGCCTAACGAGAGTTTGGACAACCACGGTTGCACCTTGTCCTCACTCTCGAAAAAGTAGCGAAACTCCTCCAGGTTCTGGAGCCGGGCTTTGACCAAAGCATCGGTGACTGCTTCAGCTATGCTGAAGTTAACCCCTAGCTGGCGGAAAGTAGCCGCGGCATCCGCACCGTCACTCGGCGCGAGTTGCAAGCTTGACGCCATGCGGGGACACAGGGACCCTCCCTAGGGAAAGTGAGGACCCACCTCACACAGTGGTACCACGAGGACCCACCTCGCCTCTGTCGGCCAAAAGGAACTGGCGAGGCAGAGATCCTAGGTGCATGGACGACATGCAAACAGCTCAGTTCTGGAAATAGCACAACCAAGCACACACTGCTTGTGACAAAGGCCTTGAACCCCCGGCCACACAGCATTCCTGCTGATCTGGGGATGATCCCCCCAAACTAAAAGTGGTGACACGGCAAAGACTCACTGACCCTCAGGGCTCTTTCCGCGGATGGCGCGCTCTCCGGTCACCTCGGTAGTCTACACAGGACGTAGTCTACAAAAAGGGGCGTCTACGGAGGCCGCCTGCTCTTATGGGGCGCAGCCTTCCCGCGACCGCTAGGCCGGCCGGCTGCTCAGCAGCTCAGTGTCGCGCTTGCCAAGATGCTGGGGCTTTGCTCCAGCACTGTCCGCACACCGGACGGGCAAACGTGCTCGCTTCCATGAAGCTGCTGTAGAAGTGGGCGTCTTTGAGCCGTTGCTGAACTCGAGCTTCGCCTTGCTTGAATGCGCACAGAGCGACACGGCCTTCAGTGCACAGGTGGATGTTGGAACGTTCAGAAGCAAGATATCCAGCAGGCTTCGGGTGTACTTGTGGCAACGACAGAGTGCGCCTCGTCGTATATAGCCATTGCGCTGCCGTGCGATCTCGGCAGAACTTGTGGAACTCCACACAAGGCCGCATCTTCGTGATCTGCTCGGCTGCTTCATCCGCTGAGGTTCCCATCATGAGTGCATAGATGAGGGCTGCACAGGCAGGAGCTCGATGCTTAATGCCAGCCATGCAGTGCACTAGCACGGAATCACCGCAGTGTAGACTCTGGTGAATGAGAGGCCATGCAGCCTTGAACTCTTGGTCCATGCGCTTGCTGCCCATCTGAACCTTCATGATGCACGCCTGCGGCAATGTCACTCCTCCCCGACCCTCGGGGTATTGTGGTAGGCAAGCGATCTGGAGGTGAGTCTTCGGAAAGTGTTGCACCGTCTCAGCAATGGGAATACCCGCTAGCCACAGCTGGCCCCCGGACCGGGTTGTCATGATCAAGGTAGGGGCGAGAGTGTCACGCCCTTCTGAGGTGGCCAAACGGTCCCAATGCGACTGCTGAGGACCTGGCGACACAGCCGGGATGGGCAGAGTGCTTGGTGCTGGCTGTGAGGGCTGCCTCCAGGGGGGAGTCCTGGCAAGTGGCGGTGTGGTGAAGGATCTCGCGGATCTCTTGGCCTCTTCTTGGCCGACGTGGCAATCAACTTGGGTGGAACTGCCTTGTGTGGGGGTGCCTTCGGAGGCGTCTTGGGCCGCGGAGATGCCTCTGCTGCATCTGGCCGAGCACTCGGCTGGGGTGAAGCCTCCCGCCTGCGCTTGTTGCTTGCGGAGGGTTTTGCCTTCGAGGATGTGGTAGTAGTAGCCGGTGTCGTCGATGCTCGAACTGGAACTGGCGTCTCGGCCGGCAAATACTTCTTTTCGGCGCAAACAAATGCACCATGGCTTCCTCCACAAGCCCGCCCCCGGGCCAGAAGCACGGCGCAGAGGTGAGCGTTCCCGCAAACACCTTCTCCCTCACTGCAACCTGCGGGCGTCTGGAAAGCCCCGCAAAGGCGACGCCCATTCTTCAGGAAGGCCGTCAGCACGCGGCCACGGATGGCATCCGGCATGGACACCGTCGGGCGCGAGGTGCTTCCGCGGATTTTGTTAGCCGCGACTGTTGCGACCCTGGCCCTCGAGAACTGAAGATGGGTCTTCAGCGACTCCTTGGTTGGCTGGGCGGCATACCGCGTCTCCTTGTCCTTCGCTATAGCCAAGGCGAGCGTGTCTTTGGCCACCTCACGGAAACCATCCAAGTCAGCAGGAAGCACCTCCTCCCAAAAGCTGTGACCCTCACAGCTGTGGGCCACTGAAGTTGCCAGGATCTTGTTCCGAAGCGATTGGGCATAACGGGCCGACGAGTAGTGGAGTGCCATCCCAGCCTCAGCAGGCTCCTTTGACTTGTCCTGCCAATCGCCTAGGGAGCAAAGGTCAGAGGACGACATATTGAGGATGTGGCCCACGGTTGGAAGCATGCGCCTCCACGAGTAGGTGGTCAACTGCTCAGCGTTGTCCAGAAACTCGGCGAAGATTGACTGACAAAGGTGTTGCACCTCGGCAATGTTCCAAGGCGTCCCACGCCTGTCAAAGCAAGGAACTCTTCTGGGCCACCGGAGAAAGGGCTTTCCATTCTTTGAGCCAATCAACAGTCCAGTTGAAGCCAGATGCGAACTCAGCAGGAGCACACCAGTCAAAGCCACCTCGGGCGTGTCGCTGCTTACCTTTGCGACAATGGCCATGGAACACCATCGGACTGACTCGGCGAACAGTGGACCGGCGAAGATGTTAGTACCTCAAGCAACCCGTAGCCACGAGCCAGGAACCTAAGAGGCATGTCCATCGCGGGTCCCCCCACGGCACATGCTCTCAATGCGCTCCTCCAACAACTGCAGCATACCGGGCTCCACAACAAGGGCTTGACTCTTCGTAGAGGTGGCCTTCTTCTTCAACTCAGGGGAGATACGAAGCCGGCCGATGTCCCAAGGAGCTCCAGAATGCTTGCGCAACCAGCGAAGCGCATTGAGCGCGCGGGTAGGGGCCATCGTCCCCTGATGCAGGAAGTTGTCCATGTCCACGAAGGCCGGAGGGAACGACCTCCCTCGGTGGAGCAAGAAGGCGTGGAGCTCCCCGTAAGTGCGGAGGGCATTCTGAATCGTCACTGACTCAGACTCCGCCACCTTGGTCTGGGCCAAACGAAGGACTGACGCCTGCCAATCACGCTTCAGGGCCTCGGTCAACAGCCCGTCTGGCTTCAAGGCACCGACCGTCAGGAACACCTTCTGCAGGGCCAACACCTGGCGCTGTATGGACTCGGGCTAGCGGAGGACGCGTGTCCGGCACCAGAGGTCCCCCCTCTATCAGACGAGCAGCTTCCTCCTGTTGTGCCACACGGACTGCCACAGGAAATGGCCTCCCACGGCCACAAGGCAAATGCGAAGTCCTCGTCCTTCTCGTAGCCCCGCTCACGCCGCCAAGTGATGGCGCGAGCACCTGCCACTCGGGCGAGACTGTCCTCCGCCCGCCAACCAGCGGAAGAGGCTGGCTCATCCGGCGGAGCCTCCACGGCTCCAGTTGCGCACGGTACACCATGGCTTGCGCACCCGCCGAACTACCCACTATCGTCATCAGACGACGAAAGTTCGCGGCAAACCGGACAGATTTGGAGCACTGGGAAACAGGCGGGACACACTCCTTTGATACAACCAAGGCACTGCCGGTAAGTGGGATCACCACAGCCGCAACACGCTGGAGGAAACTCCGACTCTCCGTTGATTGAGGATCCCAACCATCCACGAAGTGCTCGATGGGCACGAATCTTCGGGTGAAGGGCTTCCAGATGGCGCGGCAAGGTCGCAATATCTGCGAAAGGGGTTGGACCACAACCCATGTGGTGATCCCAAGATCCAGTGGCGCATGTAGTAGAGGACTTCAGATTGGAAAGTTTGCAGGGGGGAGAGGTCGAAATCCCCGGGGACCTTCTGCTGAAACTCCCACAGGTAGGTGGGCACAAAATTTTCTGCAGAATACGGGGTACGATAGGGCTGCAACAAGAGGAGGTCCATCGAGGCATCCAACCGAGCAGGCCTGCTGAGGAGTGAACCCTGGTGGCACAATCGTCCCGCGCCGGTTCCAAATCCCGACCCACGGGAAGACAAAGCCCCCTCGCCCCTGATCGCACCGTGGGCAGACACTCTTGGGACAGACGGAAATCCGCATAGGGGGAAAACCAGCTGGTTCGTCCCCAGCGGGGCGTGAAGACGGAGGCATGTGTTCAAATAGAACCACCGAGCTTCAAAGCCGCAGCGCGCCTGCCCGGTCCCCCCGGGCCAAAAGGGCATCAACCTGGCGACGGAACTCGAGGAACGCGGCGGACGAAAGCACCTCAGCATCCGTGAACATGGCGACATGCACACCGACGATATGCTGTGAAGCCATCCACAGCAAACACAGCAAAAATTGAAGCAGAACAGAAACTCCACTGTCCCACTTTTGGCTTGAGCCAAAATGGACAGTGTACCAAATGTAATGAATACTGTGCACCCAAACCTGCCCAAAGCTCGACACAGTTTTAAAGAAAGAGAGAGAGAGAGAGAGAGCTGGTTGCAACAGTTGTCGCAAAAAAGTAGGGCTGAAATTCCAGCACAAAAGGAAGCAAGGCTGCGGAGAAGTTATGTTTCAACATTCCAGGACCCTACCCGGCCCCTCAAGGAGAACAAAACAACCTCAAGGCTTAAGCGTGTTGGTTGAGGACCTGTCAACTCTTTGAGATCCAGTTCCATCCCGGATTTGAGGGCCCCACGGATGGTCCAAGGCAAAAAGCGTCTGAATCTCACGCTGAAGCCTGCGCTTGGTCCCAGCTCCGATCACCTCTTTAGCGATTAGAGTAAGATAGAGTTGAAGGCATTCCAATTCCAGAGCACATGAACATCGCTTCAAAAGGCAGAGTGTGACAATGTCAAACAGTGAGACAGTACTACGTTTGGCAAATCAACTCACCACAAACGAGGGGAAAGTCAGATGCCCATCTGTCACAGAGGTGTAAACCTCCTCTTTAAATGATTCTTCAACACTGCCATGGTCCGAATTCAAGGCTGCTTGACCATGTCGTTCTGTTGAGTCCTACTCCTTTACCATCCTGGCAGCTTGACTCTCTTTCCGGACTCCAGGCGCAAAAGCTGCCAAACATGGCACGTGTGGACAGCGAGCTTTGCTGTCCAATCTTGTCTTTTCAGGGTAATTGAAACTACAAATGTGTCGCACTGGATGTCGGTATCCAGTTTGCGCACGCAAGAACCGGCCTCTGAGACCTCTCTTCATTTGGGACTTTGCTTTTGAGGATGATCTTTATTGCCTCAAAGGCCCAAATGATCTGGGGATCGGAACGATGTTCAAGCTTCGATCTGCCATGATCAGATGCCCTTCTGCTCTTCACAAAAGCTGGGGCTTTCCAAAACCCATTCTATCAGTGGGCCCATATGCAAAATGGGATGTTCAGAACTTCTAGTACCGACCAGAATTCCATTAGGCCCTCAGGCACAGAAGGCGTTTCTACTATCGAATCACGAAGGAAGTCCTTGACATAAAACTCCCGAACTAGGCCAAAAGGTTCGAAAACCACTGGATTCTATGATGCTGATTCAAGCGACTTCAACCCTGATTCAAGCGACGGGGGCCCGGTACCAATGTACCCAGTGGGCCCCGCACCCGGGGTGCTTTGGTCTGCTTCACCACAGCTTTGCCTGCAAAATCAAAGGTTTCACCCAACACGTGGCCCCGGAGGGGTTGTCTACTGAAAATCTCCGAGCGCCTTCGCAGCCAGCTTAACACACCAAGCCTCCAATAATTATTTACATCACATTGACATTTACGCCTATATATATATAATTTACCTGTGTACGCATGTGTGTGTGTGAATCTCTCCCTGAAACTACGCTGCGATCATGTCCCATTAAAGTGTCACTCGGATGCCGGACACACTGTTGCAAAGCCACCCTGTCCCAGGATGTCCCTGGCAACAGGATATCCGATGGTCTTGTATACATCTCAGGATGCAAAGTTCAACGCTATGTTTCAATTGTAGTAGCTTCTTGTTACTAGTAGTAAGAATGCTACTACAGTAGCAATAATGCCCTGTGTTACTATAAGCGATGCCCTTGCTCCTAGTAGCTTCTTGTTACTAGTAGTAATGCCAGGAGCAACTAGCAGCGTCCTTGCTCCTAGTAGCGATGCCCTTTGTTACTAGTAGCGTCCTTGTTACTACACATAGCTTGGTGAAGGCCGGGAACACACGTTCCTCATTTACACCCAGATTCCTCCAGCACAGCAGTTTGGCGTTCCAAAATTGGTACAAAAAGCAGGAGCTGTCTTACAGAATCTGGATCTGGAAGAGACCTCCCAACATATCAGCCTGGGACTTTACAACCCTCTGCATTGCAAAGCACAAGTAGCAAGCCTTTGAAGGGAGCGGCTTCGCATATGTTTGTATCTGTATCTGCGTGTCTGTGCAACACGTCCCACGAGAGCACCCTTCATCAAAGTCAAAGAACTCGTGGACGTCCTCACATGCAAGGCCCCGCGGCAACGAAGCCCCGGCCATTTACTGTGTTTATATAAGACCTGTGACGTTCTTTTTCCTTGGCAAGAAAAGAAAAGGGCTGCTTTGGCGATCAAAATCTGGCCTGGTTGACCACTAGCTGCTAGCAACCGACGTCTCTAGACGTCCAAAAATTTGCCATCAAGAAAGGTATAGAAAGGTGCTAAAGCCAATCCAAGACCATTGCTGGGACTTAGCAACACCTGGTGATGCCTGTGAATGCAAGGCCGAAAAAGGTCTCACTGAAGCTGTGGCACTCTGGCTATCCCTTGAATTGCTATGGTTGTGCAATCCAGCGAATCCCAGCTCTTTCACCGGCGAGAAACGCCATAGTCAATCCAAGTTGTCAGGTCCCCTCCCCGCTTTCTGTCCTTCCCAGCAGTCTCTGGATGCAAGACCTGCATGAACTTGAGAACAAGACCAAGGGCTCCCAGGGCCAGGGGCCTTTTTGACCTCGTTGCCATTGCTCCTCATTGCCATTGCTCATCATCATCATCATCATCATCATCAATTCTGAAGATTCAATAAAGTCCAACATGATTCAACTGCACCTGTAAACTTGTAAACGGCACTTGGCAGAAAAGGACTGATTGGCGTTCTGTGACTCATTGTGGAGCACATCAAAAATGTGGCCACTCGTTGCTGGTTTGCCGAAAGAATCAAGCTTTCTTGTGCAAGCCTCTTGTAAGGGAAATGAAGGTCCCAACTGTAACTTCCTCGGGCGGCCCAATCGCTTGGGGGTTCATGCGGGGGCTATCCCACGATCCGCTTCGCTTCTGGCACCTTCTGGTGCAGCATCCGACGCCCCTGGGGCACAGGGACACGTCTTGAGGAAAGTCTTGAATTAAATGTTAGTTTTACTACCCTTGATCTGCTGGAACAAGTGCTGATTGCTGTGGAATCCGCCGGCCCTCGGGCGCCGGCGTGTTTGATCAATGTGGCTTGTATGTAGCTTAAGTTATGTTGAATCTATATGTGATAAGGAAAATGTCTCTAGAGCAAGTTTTTGCCTCGTCTAACTTGACCCGCCCCCCTCCCCCCCCCCGTCCCCTCCCCAGAACATCCCGAATGTGTGTATCTCACATACATCATAGCTAAAGTGAAAGGTTGTGTGCGCTTCCTTCTTATTGTCGTTCTTCTCTTGTCGTTGTCCATGCATTGCGCTTCTGCTTTGCACGCGTTTTTCTCAAGTTTTGCACCTGCACTCACGTATCTATCGTTTTTTGCAGACTCAGACTGCTTGGAAATCCCCATGCCACACATGTCCTCATTACTCTCTTGTATCATGTCTGACGGAATTTTATATACGTTTGCTGCTTCGCACGGTCTACTTCGCTCATTGTGTCACATGTCATATAAATTGTCTTCTTGCTTGGCAGGCTATACTTTGCATCCCCCAATTTCATCTCCCTGTTCTCTTATTGTATCATAATGCACGTCATTTCATGTAGGCTCCTCTGTTGCTCCAGCTGTGTTCTGGATGATGCTGTTACTTTTCCTGCTCTGTTGCAGTCTTTCCTCTTGACGCAAAAGGTAATCCGCATCTTGGGACCATTGGCTGAAAAGGCCGGCGGAACAACCCGCAGGGTGTAAATAGATATTCCTTGGCCTGCCAAAAGCAGCAGTTAAAGTCACCAGACCGAAGGTATCTGTGCTTTGCTGAACAAAAGATTGTCTAAACCTGTTAAGGTGTCGTCTCAGTGTCGCTGTGCTCTACTAACAAAGAGACGACTTCCGAAGAAACACCACCTCGAACGTTCCATTCCACGCGTTCTGCGCACCGATGGGTGATCTCTCGGGGAGCATCCACAGGCCGAACAGCAGCAGCAAAGCTTGAGCCTGTGGCATGGGTTCAGATGTGTTTCAAAGCCTAAAAGGATAGGAAAAGAAGAAGGTAAGGCCCCGGTTCATAAAGGCGATTCAAAAAAGAACCCTTAAAACGATGCCTTACCGTCCTTTTCTTCCTCTCTTTTCTCTTGTTTTGCTAATTCTTCCTCGCTTCTTCCTCTCTTTTGAGTCTTTGATCTAAAAACGGGTCTCACGGAGTCTCATGTGAAAAACCCGCTCGACGAGCATCGTTCCGAAGCAGCCCGGCCCACAGCCACCAGCCCGCTATGATCATTGATCCATATCATATCACTGATTTGCAATGACTGATTCATAAGTTGGGCAGACCCTTCACTCTCCGCCGCTGAGCCTACTGCATTACTGGAGTATGGCAGTGACTTGCAGGGATGTCTAAATGCTGAGCACACTACAGACAATCGCCTGTATTCTGCCCCAAGGAATGACCAGGGTAGTCCGAACATCTCACGAAGCAAACATGGAGATTGACACCTCAAATGTACCCCTGTGGCTGAAGCCCACAGCTGACTGGACAACCAATGCCTCGCACAGAAGCCCTCTTGCGCATCTCCATCTGGGCTTGCGGAAAGGCAGCTGTTGGAGATGACTTCTTGGATCACTTGTGTCATTCTGACACAAGCCATTTCGGAGAGGGGTGACAACTCTTACATCAGGATTATACTATTTCTTGAAACTCCTCTCCTAAATAGATCTTCGTCTCATGACACTAGGTTGGAGGCCATGGCTGTTAGAACGAAAAATAAGGAAAAGAAGAAGGATGAGAGTTGGATCCACTGGTCTAGGTCCTACGAGTTGTTGATCGATGTCCACTCCACCAAGCTGCTTTGGACAGCCAGGCTGGAGGATTCGGAGTCGGCGCTGGACTCCTGGAGTCGCAGGAAGGTTCCGAGCGAGCGACCAGGACATGATCTTTGTTCGAAAAAGTCAAGGGAAAGGATCGAAGTTTAGTTGGCCTTGCTTCACGACTAATATGAGTGAAATGACTTGGCCTTCTTTCCAAGCGACTCGATTTTGCACAGCCTGGTGTCCAACATGAAGGATCTGATCTCCGCACGCCTCCGACTCACTGACCTCTTCCGAGGTGGAATCAGTGCCCTGCGAGGACAAGTAACACTCGGGAGAAGGGCTGACAAATCAGCCTCCAAGAGAGACCCTTCTGAATCTTGTGTTTCAAGGGCAAACCACAGTGCCGTCCGGTCATGGGTTTAGCGAACAAAACAGAGTTGGACACAAATTAGACTATAACATTAAAAGACCTGGTGTACTCGTTCCCACACTCAATGGTACACGTTGTCAACTACTTGTTGATATTAATGTACTTTCAGGCAAAAGACCAGTTGTTGATTCTTATAATGTCTGTGAACAAAAGCAAAAACATAATAAACATGCGACATCCTGCCTCGCAAGTACCCTTGCTCTTTCCGCCACCCATGGTGCTCAAACACCAAAAGTTTTACTAAGAATCTTTGCGACCGCAACAACAAATTGGCGTCAATTGCAAGACTGTTTGCTGCTGCATATGTGCGCAAACAATGTATTTCAAGATAAGAAAAGGTGTCTGTGTGTGTGTGTATTTGTCTTGGGTTCCATGTGCAATTTTCACTCATGTGTTGTGATTTGAATGGCTGCTTATCAAAGAACGAATGCGCACCGAAAGTATAGTAAACTTTTAACACATCAAACCTTCCAATTTGTATAAAGTTGATCTTATCTTTGACAACAACCAAACAAATAATAGCCATCAGGTGCTTGGTTTTGTGCAACTGACATGACAAGAAGCTCAACGCCTTTTTCTCTTCAAAGGTACTGGGGGCGTGTGTCCTGCTCTCAGGCTCTGGGTCTGGCCTGAAAGCGAACTCCTGGTGAAAACTCGGCACCTGGTCTGAAGGCAAACGAAGTTCTTGACACATGGTGGGCGGGTGGGCGCTTTTCAGGCAGACGAGCAACGCGTCCCACCCGCCCGCCCTGAGCCAACTGCAGAGCATTCGAAGTGAAGCCCAAAACCCGGGAGCCTCCTCCCTAAAGCCTTTATGACATTTCGATCCTTTCCAAGGAGCTACAACGTCATCAAGTGCTTGGTTTTGTGCAACTGACATGACAAGAAACTCAACGCCTTTTTCTCTTCAAAGGTACTGGGGGCGTGTGTCCTGCTCTCTCCCCCTTAAGCACACACGCCGCCAGTTCCTTCGAGTTGAGGATCGAGTTTTCGAAAACTTCAATGGCGGATTCCGCAACAGAAAGCTCTCTCTTCAAGAGGGGGTGATCAACGTTCCTGGAAGGAGGATCGCCAATGTTCGATTCAGTCGGCACTCTAACAAACCAAGCCTGTGAACCATGTGCAGCTTCGTGAGTCAGGTGAATGTGCATAAGCGCGCTAGCAACACAACCTTCGGCATTTCCTTTTATCAAGGCAAAACGAACAGCTTCATTATCAAGAAACATGACTTGCAGTCCCTCTGCCACTCGGTCTCCCCAAAGTAGAATCGACAAAACGGCGGCAAGCATCTCAAGTTCATAGATAATGGTGTCTTTAGTATCCGCCCCAAATCTTTTGCACGTTGCAGCATCGAGTTGGAGACCGAACCAAGCAAAGCAAGCACCAACGTCATCAATTAGTACACCTCCCAAACCTCCCATCTGGTTTCCTTGCTCGAAGGAGGCATCAGAAGAGACGTACCATTGTTTCAAGCGCTTGGCACTGAAATTCTCGGTTTTCCAAATTGCAAACGTGTCAGCATGAAGCGCAGAGCTGTCCTCAAGCCTTCGTCGATTGACTTCTGCGCACCATAAGCATGCTCAAACAGCTTGCTAAGAACGAGAACGCCAAGACGACCATGAACAAAACTGTCGCCAAAGCCCAGCTTTCCTCGCAGGACAAGGGCCTCCTGTCTGGACAGGCTGCCTTTATCAAGCGCAAGCATGATCATGTCTTTCAACTCAGTCTTTCGCTGTTCGGTGTTCTCGATCAACATCTTCCGTTCAGAGGACAGGGTCAGGTCAACAACAACTCCAAGGGCCTTGCACAAAGAAGAAAACACTGTTTTTCTTTCCTTCCCTTGTAAATTTCCAGCCAGTGATCATGAAGACCAATTCCATAGCCCGACTAGCGTTCTCCTGGGCCGCTGGTCTGGACAAAAGGATGAGGTCATCAAAGAAGTTTTTGCTGAGAAGGAATAGCCCTTGAGTCGCTATGAAAAGAAGCATTTTTGCAAAACGCAAGAAAGCGTACACACTGCGAGTTGCACCAAACGGAAGTGTAACCAGCTGGTACACCTCGGCATGGCCCTTTTGACAAGTGTAGATGCTGAAATACGCATATCGCAAATGCTCCTCCCTCACTGGAATCTGCCGATAAGCACTCTTCAGGTCGAATGTTTTGGCCCGAATTGTACTCTCCACACCAGGCTCTTCGCACCTCAAGAAAAATGGTTCATCAGAGCAGCCAACGTGTCTATCATGTGGAGGTCAACTTTGTTGTGAACCGTGCATCCCGCTCACCGAAAAGTCATCGATAAGCCGGGTCTTGTTGCTCTGTTGTAAAGGGAACCCCCTAGACACCACAGCGTCAGGCTCAAGCTCATCTAAACATATGGGACCCCGGGCCCAGCCTTTTTGCCACCTCATCCATGGTCTCATCGAGCAACGTTTGATCAACCTGTGGGTTGCCTGAACTTCGAGTCATGTTCAAGATGGCCTGGTTTTTCACTCTTGCGCCTTCATGAAGCTGAGGCAGGGTCTGCAGTCTGCATACAAGGTTTGTACCGCTTCTGAAAGACCGGCGTGGCTTCTATATCACCAGCAAGGGTGGCACCTTCTCGAAGCAGCTGCAAAACTTGGATGTCCTCATACCCAAGCTCTTCCAGAATTTGTTCCGTCACCAACAAACGCTTGCTGGCAGTGTTCACCCGAACATGATCCGATCGTTTTGCAGCATCCTCCTTTTCAGCCTGCCGCAACTCCAATGCATGCTTTAACCACTTCTTGCACCAATGGGCTCTGTAGTCACTCATCTTTGCATCGTCCCACTCCAAGGTTTTTTCTAGGGCAGCGTTCAGGTCCTCTGGGATTTGATGCCCACTCAACAAAGGATGGCCCCTCTTGCATGCAAACTCGATGAACGCCTCTATAGACCACGGCAACCCAAAAACCACTTTGAAACACTCAGAATTTCCCTTCGAAGACTGACTCTCCCCCCTGGTGAGGATGAGCAGGGAGAAAAACGAAGAAAGCGAGCACCGGTAGGGACCTGAACAGGGTTGTGGTCGAGAGTAAACAAGTCAACTGGCTTTGGAAACTTTTGCAACAAAGCACAAGGCACGTGAGCCAGTGAAGGAGCAATAAACGTAGCCGTTGATTGAAAATCTGGGACCAAATGTGGAACTTTTCGCCTCGGTTGAAGTCCGCTGGAAACCTGGGCTGCTAGGGCCTCCAACAAAGGATGGTGTTGAATCTCTTGAAGTGACTGAGGCTGTAACGTCAAGCCTTGCTGATGAGCAGCCTGTAAAACACATTGTACCAACGCTACGCACATCTTCTGTCGATATTGCGATTCAAGACTGGTCGCCCAAACCCTGTTGCCGGAACTATCCTTTGCAAAACGCCAGGGCTCGTGCGGGTGTGACTTGTCACAAGCAATGCAAAGTTGTCTGATCTCTGGGAATGAAGCTACCAGCCTTGTCCATTTATTTCTTGTACCACCCAACATGCACACTTCAAAATCGGCAACAAAGAGTCTGCAATTTCTCATAAGCCTCAAGACCCAATCTGTTTGCCAGAAGTATGAAGATTCTCAACTGTAGCATAAACACCCGCCTTGACTGCCCTCTCAAACAGTTTACAGGTGTATGAAAAAAGGTCATTTGCAATCAACACACGTCGCGTCTCATTCTCTGGCAAATTTGGCAAGTCATGTGGGAATTCACAACTGCGAAGTGGTTGGGGATCGTCCCATCTCCGTTGGATTTCTCTGGCCCTTGAGGCCGTGCCACATACGGGTGCAAAATGCACCCAAAGAAGTAAAGGAGAAGCCATCCAATGTTCCAACAACTGTCTGTCAGTATCTCGTCTGAGATCCAGCTGGAAAACTGAACTGCGAGCTCCCTTCTTCCGTTCTTTGTCAACTGCTATGGATCCTGCAAGGCCATACTGCTTAGCAGTGGCGCATAAGATGGCGCACCCAGCAAAAATTTCAATCATGAAAGTCTGCTCAACATGAAGGGTGTGCCAAGTCTTGATTTCAGCAGTTTCGATAGGCTTTCAGTTCTTATGATCAACCAAGCTGCGCTTACCCTGGCACTTCGGCTCCTGGGGCAGCGTTCTCCAACTGAAACAGAGGAATTGTGGGGGCAACCATCAGCAATATTTAATGCAAAACACAAAGGTTCTCCTTGAGGAGTTTTGTGCCACTTTCCAATCAGAGACTTCGGCATTGGCGGTGACCCGCCTTTTCCTCCTTTCCCCTTACCCTTTCCCTTCTTTCCCTTGCCCTTGTCTGAATGCGAAACATAAGGCCCCGGCCGAGTCCACTCTTTCGGCCCCTGCTTCTCGCGAGACACCGACTTCGCCAGGGGGCAAGGAACAGGGGGATGTTAGGGTCGGATCGCAAGTTGAGCTGAGTCCAAGACACTTGAGGGCCTCGTCCAGGCAGCCCAGATCCACTTAACTGACATATGTTACCGAATCTGCCAGATGGATGGGCGCAAATAAACACCAGTATTGGCACTGGCTACACAGCCCGCTCCCAGTTGGCCAATGTCGACTAACAGACCTAAAGCTTAGCCATCCGGAAGTCATTCCCCTACGGGACCGAATGGCGGCTCCCATGCGACTTGCTTCGTGGATTCGCTTTGAAACGGTTATGCATCGCAGGGATTGGATGGCTGCCATTGAAACCCTCGTCCCTAATATCCATAAGTCCGATGATGAGCTGCTTGCCCTCCTGCGGCGGTGTGTCCCAGACCGAGGCATTGCCTCCATGGCTGAAGCCCAGGCACTCCTTCTCCGTAACTTCCGTGTGGGCAGAGGGGAGAATGATAACTGTGCCGCGTGGCTCACTGAGATGGCCCGTAACCTTCTCGCCCCCATCCCGTTCCGAGAAGTGTTTGTCATACTGGCCCTCTTCTTGCCACAACTAACCTTCACAGAAGGTATCAGACTCTTATTCACTAGCACAAGATGACCTGCGCAACCTCTGCACACATGGCGTCTCCACCCGTGCAAAAAACAAAGACCCCACTGTGCTTCCTCCGCCTGTCTCTGCCCTTGTAGGGTCGCAAAGCTGTCCGAGAACGGGATAAAAGCCATCTGCCAGGACCGTGGGCTTTGTCGGGCTGCCTTGTCTCTGTGAGCTTCAGGCGCTTCTTTCTTCGTTTTCCGCTTGGCTTGAGGTACAAACTCCAGCAAGATGACAAGTAGGGCAATCGCCCGGGTGTCTTCTTGCAGGATCATACGGTAAACCTTGCCCACTTGACAGCCCAT